CAAGGCAGAGCAAGATGTCTGAGGGAGGATGAGAAGGGAACCAGTCAGTGTTCCTGCTCCTGAAACTCTTACAACGTTCCTGGGGCTCAGGGAAGAACTCTCAGGGAAAAGTCCCCCAACAGCCAAATTGATGAGTCTCATGAATGAACATGTGCAATGGCTCACACCTGTGACCCTAGAACTCAGGAAGCTGACGCAGGAAGTTTGAGCCTGGCCTAGCCTAGAAAGTGAGATGCCATCAGGAGAACTGGCATACACCTTTAATCCCAGCACTTGGGAGGCAGAAGCAGGCAGATCTCTGAGGTCAACCTAATCTACAGAAGTAGCTCCATGAGAGCCAGAGCTACACAGAGAAACTCTGTATCAAAAAAAAAAAAAAAAAAAAAAAAAAGCAAAAACTTGAGCCTGGCAGTGGTGGTGCAGTTCTTTAATCCCAGTACTCAGGGAGACTGAGGCAGGCAGATCACTGTGAGTTCGAGATAGGAGATCATGCGCCCAGGAGGCTCTCACCTCACCAACCACTATGGCTCTGAGAGAAAGGTAAGCCTGAGCAGAAACCTAGAGGTTCTTTTCTGTCAGGGACACAGCTCAGCTCTCTGAGCACCTCCAGAAAGAGAAAGGAGCTTCTGACTTCCCAAGAAATCTAGACTGCACGTATCTACCTCCCGAGCAGAAGCCACCCTTGCAGTCTCCAGACTTCGCCTCTACTTCCCGGGAACAGTGGGCGAGACAGTGACTTTCTCGGAGCACTGGTCAGTATGTACTTCATCTGTACATAATCACTCCAAGAAATAGGCAATTTTTAGGGCAGAAAAGTGGGACTTGGGGACGTCGGTGGAAGATGTCACAGGTGACACGTGGATAGGGTTCCCATGTGTTTCACCATTTACTAGCAGGGTTGCTCCCAGCAGGACTTCTGAAACTGTGGTCCCCACTGCCAGGAAAACCTTTTGAGGTTGCTAGAAAAATTAAATGAGATTGTGCATATTAAGTGCTTATGACAATGCCTAAAAAATAGTAAGATTCAAAAATGGAAGCTACTAATAAGACAGCAATCCAAAGAGGCTGCAGATACAGGGCTGCCAGGCAGTGGTGGTGCCTGCCTTTAGCCCTAGCACTCAGAGAGGCAGAGTTTGAGAACAGCCTGGTCTACAGAGTGAGTTCCAGACCAACCAGGGCTACAGAGAAACCCTGTCTCAAAACAAAAACAAAAACAAAAACAAACAAACAAACAAACAAAAAAAACAGTAGAACCATAATATAATCTTTTCAAATAAAATAGGTCTCCCAAAAATCATTCTGGGCTCACAATCTGCAGAGCACTGACTGATAGACCCCTTCCGGTATGGCATCACTCGTCCCTACTGAAGTCCAGTTGAAAACTGTCGTCAAGGTGATACTTCCAGTTCTGTGACAGCTGTCTCTTGCCTCACTGTGGCATCTTACCAAAGTGCTAACACTTTCTGAAGTCTGTGTCAGGTGAACATCCCAATCAGGTAACTCTATGTCTTAGTCTGAATATATGTGTGAGTTGTGGGTCAGATGTCCTCTGGCCCAACTCGATCCCCTCTCACCCCCAGAAAAGCAAGTATGAGGATCCCACTGTTCCTGAGAAGCATCACACGCATCACGCATCACGCATCACACACACACACACACACACACACACTCCTTCACAGCATTTCTGCAGCCCCCAACTTTCAATTTAAAGCAAAGGCCACCCTATCCAAACAAAGGCTCAATCTATGTAGCCAGAAACCATACAACAGAGTGTAGTATGGTAATATACAGCTGGAATGATGTACTTGGAAGGTCAAGGCAGAAGAATAATGAGTTCAAGGTCATCTTCAACTATAAAGCATATTTGAGACCCTATTTCATAAAACCAAAATAAATAGTGTGGTTTACCACCTAAGCCTGAAACTTGAGTTCAGTCTCTGGAATCCATCATAAAAGAATGCTATTCTGTTGCAGGATATTTGCTCACACTATGAACCCCAAGATTATGATCTGTTTCTAGTTGTGGTATGGATCAGCACTAGCAAACACCTTTAATCCAAGAGCTCTCTGTTTGAATATTGTAAACAGGATTAAAATAAAGTCAAAATAGGTCAAAAAGTGGAACAAGCAACCAGTTGACAGGGACTAAACATAGGATTAAAAAAAAACCACAGCAAGTAAGAGGAAGTCAGGACGATGGCTAGACAGACCCACAGAAGTAAAAGAAAGGGATGTTAAGTTTGAAAAAGGCTATTTGAGGGGACATGGGAGGGAGATTCCTTCTGGGACATCTGGCTCCCTAATCTTTATTGGTAAAATTGAATGGTTGAGATTTTGTTAAAAACAACACTATTCTCTGACCTCAATACACACCAAAATACAAGCACGATCACATACACCTGTACACAATAATAAACAAAATTTAAAATATACACACATATGTTTCTATAACTCTAGGATCAGGACTTTTTTGCCATTCTATAAAGGCTTCTCAAGGCTCAGTGCCAAGCCCAATGCTGCATATTTGCCAGAGAGTGCAGAGATCATTGCTGCTCTCAAATTCAGACTTTAGAAAAAGCAAACAGTCACATCATATTATAAAAACTATGGTAGAGACATGGAGCGACATCCTGGGGAGAAACTAAGGAAAATCTATTTTGCCCACAGAGAGAAAATAGTAGAAAAGGGTGGGATGAGAACAGAAATTAAACAAATAACTGCATGAGGCCATAGGTTCAACCAGTTTTTTTAAAAAGACAGAAGCTAAACTGATGAACTCTGAGACCCTTTGCAAAGTGCTCTTGACCATTCCACTCGAACCCATCTTTTATTGTGTACGTAGGCTACTCTTTCTCTTAAAGGGACTCTTTAAAAGCATAGAAGTGACTCTTACAGAGGAACCCAGCCTAAAGAGCTGAAATTACAGCTAGGCATGGTGACACACACTTGTAATCCCAGCACTTAGGAGACAGAGGTGGGTGAGTCTCTGTGAGTTCAAGACCAGCCTGGTCTACAGCCAAGGCTACAAGAAAAGGTGACATATTTTAAGGACATTGGTGTTTTTGCCTGCAAGTATGTCTGTGTGATGGTGCTGGATCCCCTAGGACTGGAGTTAGTTGGGAGCTGCCCTGTGGGTGCTAAACTGAACTCTGGAAGAGCAGCCAGTGCACTTAACCATTGAGCCAGATCTCCAGCACAAAAAGGTGACTTATGTGTGAAAAGACAGGCTCAGTAAGTGGAGCAGAATGGCAGAGAACCCAAGCAGAGAAAGTGCTGTTCTGTAATCCAAAGCCAGCAAGGTAGAAAAGAGCTAGAGATATTAACAAGGGCTTTCTAAGGTCAAGCCAAGGAGCTTGCACTTGATTCTGAGGAGTCTGGGGAATTACCAGAGTAGGAGAGGGACAGGATCCTTTGTGTAAGTTAGGAAGATATAGACTTTAGACCATAATGAGCTGCAAATATGGAAGGATCAACAGGAGTCATAATAAGCCATGAGCTAAAGAATATTGGCTGTCTCACCACACCTGCTGCTTGAGTATCATGCCACAAGGATAGAGACACCCTGTCACCCTGCAGACTTAACCCACAATTTAATCATGTTAAGAGGTAGAACCCTGCCAGTCCTGATGACACACACCTTTACCCAAGCACTTGAGATGCAGAGGCAGGTAGATCTCTTGAGTTCAAGGCCAGCCTGGTGGTCTGCAGAGTTCCAGGACAGCCAAGGCTACATAATGGCATCCTGTCTAATTGAGGGTACACATTAAGCCAGATGTAGTAGAATATACCTGCTATTCCAATTCCAGCAGTCAGGAAGCTGAGCAAAGGGGCCAGGAGTTCAACACTAGTGTATACTGCCAAGACCTTATCTAAAATAAATCAACAAATCATTAAGTGGTGATTAAGTAGAGTGCCCTGGGCACTCTAGCACTGGAACAGCCCCTTCCCCCTAAAAAAAAAAAATCACAAGAACTACAAATAAGTAGCTATGTTAACAAGCAGTAATTAGTATGACCTAGATGGGCTGATGAGAATGGACTCTTAAGCCTGATCTCTCAAAGAAGTGACTTTTAACCTGAGACCTAAAGACTCAGGCATTTGTCAGAGAGCGAAGACATTTCAAGGCTTAGGGGAGAGCATGTGCAAAGGCAACTGAGACAAAACTGACAGGCCAGTGTGGCTGGAGCTTGGTAGTATGGTATACAGCAAGATTAGATAGATCAAAACTGGGACAGACCAGTAGAGCCTTCCCAGCCATGTTTAAAGCAGGTTAAGTCTGGATTCAGAGAAGACTCCAAGGTCATCCCAACCAGCCCCAGGAGTGGTAGCTGCCCACTCAGATCTCCCTACACTTTAGTGTTTTCCTATCTAATGGCTGTTGTCATCACACCACAAGATATTTAACTACTGGGGCATTTGTTCAGGTTATTAAGAGACTGTAGCCCTTCCAACTCAACCCATCATGACTCCCAGTCCCCTTGTTCCAGCAGATGAGAAACTTAAAAATGGAGTGATGGAAGTGTCTTGTGTCTGAAACTAAGGGGAGGACATAAAGTCATCACTCTCTTTTACTCTTCATTTCATTCATGTCTGTGCAATTTAGGGGCCTTAGGGTTCTAGCTGCTACAATTCTAGTATCCTATGCTATGTGAAAGGATCCTAAGATCTGGGGAAACAAGATTTTGGGTTTCTAGATTTCCAAGATTTTAAGCTTCTATGTTCCAATAAACTCAGAACAGGAACAGGTTACTGTTTCAGCACCAGCTGGTTTATAAGAAAACGCTACTGAACCTCTTAGCATCTGCCAAACTGCCAGAGACTAGCAATTTAGCTCTGCCCTTCATCCCTACCCTTCCCCCTCCTCCTCCCTCCTTCCGCTGCCTAGCCTAAAAGTCTTAAGGGTGGAAACCAAAACTAGCTTGCTGGAGAAAGAACAGAGCTGTAGGTGGAAGAGGGTGGAGCAGTCCCCGGCCCGCCCACCAGCCTGCTGACTTCCTGGTCTTGGAGAGCAGGCTGCAAGAGCGCTGCAGCCAGAGTTAAGAGGCAACCGCGGCTGCAAGCCCCAGAGCCATGGGGCGGGCGCGGGATGCCATCCTGGACGCTCTTGAAAACTTGACAGCGGACGAGCTCAAAAAGTTCAAGATGAAGTTGCTGTCAGTACCACTGCGCGAGGGCTACGGCAGAATCCCACGGGGGGCCCTGCTGCCAATGGACGCCATAGACCTCACAGACAAGCTCGTCAGCTTCTATGTGGAGGCTTATGCCACAGAGCTCACAGTGACCTTGCTTACAGACATGGGCATGCAGGAGCTGGCCAAGGAGCTGCAAAAGGTCGCTATAGAAGGTAAGTGTAACTGAACCCTTGTTTAAGTCTACCTCAACTTCCTGCACCAGAGGCCTGTCTCCTGGCTCTTAAGTTTCTGTTCCTCCTGCCTTTAAAAAAAAAAAAAAGAAGGAAGAAAGGAAAGAGAGAGAAACAGAAAGAGAAAGAAAGAAAGAAAGAAAGAAAGAAAGAAAGAAAGAAAGAAAGA